GGAGGAGGAGGAGGGGGAGGAGGAGGAGGAGGAGGAGGAGGAGGAGGAGGAGGAGGAGCAGGAGGAGGAGAGGAGGAGGAGTTGCAGGAGGAGGAGGAGGAGGAGGAGGAGGAGGAGGAGGAGGAGGAGGAGGAGGAGGAGGAGGAGGAGAACCTCCTGATCCTCCCTTCTCCCCCGTCCTGCATATGGCAGTGGTGGTGGAATATTTGCCCATAGGCGGGGGGCGGCGGCGGCGTCGCGGGCTGCCGCTCTGGGGGAGCCGCCGCCTCTCGCCGTCTCGTCCCCGCTCTCTGCGCCTTCCCTCTCGGGCCCCCCCGCGGAGGCCGCTCTCCTCTCTCTCCCTCTGTCTCCCTCTGGGCGCAGCTGTCGCCGGCGTGGGGGAGGGGGAGGAGCGAGGGGGAGGAGGGAGAAGGGGTGAGAAGGGGGAGGAGAGAGAAGGCAGGGGGAAGGAGCGGAGTAGAGAGGAGACAGGGTGGAGGGGGGAAGGGTGCGGGGGAGGGAGGGAATCGCCTCTTGCCCGCGGGGGGGCTGCTAGCAGCCCTGAGGAGCCCCGCCGTGGCCGATGGCGGGGCCTGCAGGAGCCTCCCAGGAGCCCACGTCTTCCAAGGGGGTCCGGGCTGTATCTCTCTGCTGTGCTGAGAGGTTTGGACACCACGTTGTCGCATGGTCGACGCTGTCGTTCGCTCGGGCGCTGCTCCAGACACCGATGGGCGCCTGGCGGAAGCCTTGGCAACGGCCATACTCCGAGATCCCCGTCCTGGGTGGGCCGCCCCCTGTGGGTGCCCGTCCGAGGGCGTTGCCTCTGCTGACCGCTCTGAGGGGCGTCCTCCGTCGAGCCCAGATGGGTTCAGCCTCGTGGCCGCGTCGGGTGGCCGGGTGACGCGCTCGGCCGCCCTCTGTGCCCCTTTCTTCGCTTGTCTTGGCCGCACGGCGCCCCCTTGTCGCTGCGGCTCCAGTCGTGTCTAGAGGACATGCTGCGCGTGAGGCCTCTCTGTCCCGCCTGGCTTCACCGACTGGAGCAGCTGTGTTGAAGAGGTATCCAGGGACATCTCTGGGAGGCACCCTGGCGGGTTTGAGGGGGGCGGCGGACTGGGGCGGAAGTAGAAAGCTGTCCCTGAGGCACGTGCCGACGGCGAAGGAAGCAGGCGGAGTAGGCAGATGGAGAGGGGGAGGGCGGGGAGGGCCCCGACATCTTCGCGTCGTGAGAGCGTCACGACGGATTATTCCCTTGTGGCAGTCGGTCTCCGGGCCCTTGCCGTGCTCTCCGGGACCGTCGAAGAACGACTCTGGACGAGAACCGCTTCTCTGGAATGGGTGAAGACCTTTGGGGACCCACGCTGCGAGGGCTGGCCCCCCGTACCATCTCTGCCTTGCGGGCGTTCCCGCGTAGGCGTCGACCGCGCTGTGCGTCCGCCAGCGCTGCGGCTCGAAAGTGTTTTGTGGCTGGGAGACCAGAAGGGTAGCCCATTTACCCGTGGGGCCCACTCCCGAAACGATGTGCCCAAATGGGGCGGGGCAGTCGTGCGGGCGCTGCCATTGGGGCCTTCGGTGGAGTTCCCCATGGGGCCGCTAAGCGTGTGAGGGATGTGCCAAACTGCACCCGAGTCCAGGCGCGGGCGCTGTCACTGGGGCCTTCGGTGGAGCTCCCTCCGGGGCCGCCCACGAAGCGTGTGAGGAATGTGGCCAAGTGGGCCTGGGTCCGCATGCGGGCGCTCCTTGTGGGGCCTTCGGTGGAGCTTCCTAGGAGGCCACGAAGCGTGTGAGGGGTATGTTCTACAGTCGGCCAGTGTCCGCATGCGGGCACTGCCGCTGGGGCCTTCGGTGGAGCTCCCTCTTGCGGCCACGGTCCGTGCCAGAGGTGTGGCAAAATGGGGCGGGACCGTCATGCGGGTGCTGCCACGGGGGCCTTCTGTTGGGCTCCCTCTGGGCCACGAAGCGTGTGAAAGGTTTGCCAAACTTGGGCGGGGCTGTCACGCGGGTACTGCCTCTGAGACCTCCTGTGGAGCTCCCTATGAGGTCACGAAGCGTGTGACGTGTTTGCCCGAATGAGCGTGGGCTGGTAAGCGGCCTTTGCCACTTGAGCCCTCTGTGGAGCTTTTTGTGTGGCCGCGAAACAGGTGAGGGGTGTGCCAGGATGATGGGCGTGGTCAGGCGTGCGGACTTTCCTGCTGGGGTCTTCGGTGGAGCTCTGCACGGGTGTCACGAAACGTTTTGAAGGGCGTGCCGAAGCCGAGGCATGCGGAGGGCAGATGCCAGAGGGAGGCGGGGAGGAGGCGAGGAATGGAGGAGGACGCGCGGCGCTGCGCTCTTAAAGCGAGGACCGATCACCACAGCATGGTCGGGGAGAAAGGTTGTTTGTTTGTTTGTTTGTTTGTGTGTGTGTGTGTGTGTGTGTGTGTGGCCTTTTTTCTTTTTCACCCCCCCGCGGCCGCCTGCCTGCCCTCTTTCTCCCTCTTGCATGCTGTCCAATTCGCTTTTCCGTGCCCCCGTTCAGCTTTTTCGCTGGTGCAGCCAACTCTGCCTCGCCGCCGACGACGAAAGTGTGTGTGTGTGTGTGTGTGTGTGTGTGTGTGTGTGTGTGTGTGTCTGTGTCTGTGTCTGTGTCTGTGTCCGTGTCTGTGTCTATGTCGGTTTCTGTGTGTGTCTCGGGCCGCTGCACGTTTCGCCTGGATGTGCAGGCTTTCCTTCACACCACACACCGCTGCATTTGACAGTGTGCACGGGTTGTGCATTGTGCCTTCGACAGTGCCCCATCGCAATTGGCACTTCCATTCGCCGTCTGCGCCTGCGGATCCTCTGCGCCGCCGGCTTACAAAGTGTGTGTGTGTGTGTGTATGTGTGGGTCTGTGTGTGTGTGTGTGTGTGTCCGTGTGTGCGCGTGTTCCCGTGCAGGGCTCGAGGACCGAGGATTTCCACGCGCCCATCTCCTGAGGGCCCCCCAGGGCGCCCTCGCGGCCGCGGTCCGGCGCGGCCCCAAGAACACCCGGCTTGGGCGGGCCCCGTGGAGGGGGGTACAGCGTTCGACCTTGAGCGGCTCTCGAGCGAGGCCCCTTTCGGCCCACCCGCTCTGCTGTCGTTCCTGTTGACCGTCGCGAGCAGTGGCAAGGGCACTGTCTGCCACGCAAGGTCCTGGAATGTCGACAGGGCGCTTCCCGTTGATATCTCCGAGCCGTTGCGGTGCAGACAGTGCAGTGCAGCCTGCCACGCTCCCGGAGATCTCAACTCCTGGAGATGAGATGCTCGGAAGTGTCATAGAACGGGCGACAGCGAGCTTGAATATTTCGTGCCTGGGGCGATTGATGGCGATTACAGCGTCGGAGTGTTGCTCAGGCTGGTGGTCATGACTTGACGACGCGGACGGTGTCGGCGTTGGCGGCATGAAGCTCCCGACGGCGTCCAGCGGCAGTATTAGGAAGTCAGTTGCGACTTGGGTGCGGCAGTGCTCGTGTCTCTTACGCCAGCACCGGCAGCGGAGGGGGCGCGTGCAGGGACCAATGAGCCCCCGGTCGCGGCCACCTTCGCTGCAGACGCTGGTGCTGTTCAACCTCTGCTGGCGCGTCTTTTCGGACGGCTCGTCCACCTTTTGCGGCAGTCGTCGTCAAGCTGTCATGGTACGGTGCTGGCACGTGGATCACAGACAATCAAAGCGACGGAGGGGGGAACAAGTGGAAACAGTTTGGAGCAGATGGAGGTGGGAGCAAGGGAGTGGCTGGCGACGTGCTAGTGCAGCGGATAGTCAGGGGCAGGGCTGAACGAATGACGTCGGCGGCAGGCGAGGGCCAGGTGACAGCCGAGGACAGGGCCACATTCAGAATACATGGGAAGGACGCGGTACTCCCGCAAGGGTACCCTTGCATCTGTATCCTCGCCTCCTCGGCCACTTTCGACGTCCGAGGGCGTTCATTCTGGAAGGTCCGAAAGGGCCTTGCATCCTTACCTTGCGTCCTCACTTTTGGGGTCACGCTCTGCGGCGTGACAGTGAGGCACTAGTGACCTGTCAGCTCTCGAGTGTAGTATACGTACTTATCACGAGCAGGTGAATATTTCGCGAAGTGGTCCTCTATGCTGCTAAAAGGAAAAATAATCTCACTTTTGGCTCTGATTGTGGACGATGGAAGCTGGCGGCGCTCGAGGGCCGGGGCCAGGGGCACGTCGGGGTCGAGGCCAGCCGAGGTGGCCGGCGTCGGCGCAGGAGCGCACCACTGTCAGGGGCTGCGGTCGGGGAGCGGGCCGGCCAGGGAACATCGGGACCTGCGGCGGGGCAGTGAACATCAGGCGCGGACGCGGCTGGCCAAGACCACTGGCAGATCAGCGCAGGGCAGCATCAGCGCCGTGGGCAGTGCCGTACCGCACGCACGCACGCAAGAAGCTGTGCCTACACGGCGCATCGGCAAGATACCAGCCGAAACGAAGGTCATGCAAATCAAAAGGCACGAGAATACGAGCGCACCAGTGCACAGACACTGCACACGGACCAGTGCTGGGCGGCGGATGTTACTACGATCTCGTGGGAAAGATGCAGGGTGAGAGGTGGGGGAGAGAGAGGGGGCATCGACGGGGGGAAAATGGCACTGAACTGCTATTCATTGCAGTCATGTGCTACGGCAGACTCCCATCGCGCAGTGCCATGTCGTGGTATGCTATTGCCAGAGTGTCCGTGGCGAGATTTCGTTCGTTGCCTGTGAGACAGGACGCCTGCCACCGCCGTCGTTCCAGTCGCTGCTGCTACCATTGCTGCCGCTGCTTCCGCTGCTGTTGACTGTTGCTTGCTCTGTTCGCTATCCTTAGTGTTGCTCCCCCCCCTCCGCGAGACATCGAGGGGCGCCGACCAGGACCTGTCTCCTCCTCCTCGCTGCTACCTCCTCGCTCCTCCTACCTCCTCCTCCACGCTCCTCCTTCTCCTCCTCCTTCTTCGAGCTCCTCCTCCTGCTCCTTCTCTGACGTGCTTCCCTTCGCGGATGCTTTCTGTCAAGGACGGGCGGCACCACGGAGACCAGCGC